GGATGTGTGTGTGTGGGGAGACCTTTGGAGTAGGATTACATCGGATTCAGGTCCATGTCTCCCTGGAACACACAGACTCTGAGAACTGGAGGACCTGGATAAAGATTTTGGTCCTTTGTGCCCAAACCAGCATTAACTGCTTCAACACTTTCCTAGACTGAGAGACTCAGAGCAGATGTTAATATAATCAGCTTGAAACAATCTGGTTCTGAAGTCTCTTGTTGTAATCTGTTTTGTAAGGTCTACACTCATCACTTGCCTCTCGGAGTCTGACATAAACAATTTATTGGTAAAACAACAAAGCGAACGGGTCACCTGATAGCTCTGGTTCCCAGTGCTGATAATAAATAAACAAAGGGGCGGGGTCATTGGGAGCGAAACAATTTTTTTGCTTTGCACATGTCTAGAATTCAGTAATCGGTCATGCCTCTTGTATATCAAAACCTCTGCTGTTTCCATTCCACACCACTCCAGGCCAGGGGCGGACTGACAACTCATGGGGCGCCCCCGGGCAATAGGGGATCATGGGGCCCCTATATCCTTGTCCACACTGAAAAAAAGTCTATAAAAGGTACCAGGGGCATTTCATGGGGCCCCCTACTGACCCCGGGCCCCTCGGGCAGTGCCCGAATTCTCGAATGATCAGTCCGCTCCTGCTCCAGGCTTGCTCTTGACTACACCCATTCATCAAGCCTTACAGCCTTTTGCTGTTGAAACACTTCCAAAGGAAAATAAGGTTGCTGAGTTGTGGTGCCATTTTGAATTGCACACCAAGGCACTCAAACTATGCATCTGTGTTGTGTAGAAAAAAATAAGTCATCCAAATTAAGGCTTGTTGGGGTGCTGTAAATGGGCCCTAAGGTTTTGGAGCCAAATTCATTTTTAATGTGAAGGTTTTATACCTGTTATTTTTATCTCTGTTTACATAAATCCATGTTTTACCTTGGGCACTCCCTTCAGAAGAGATTCCCAGAGCTTTGTAAAGAGAGAACACAGTATTAGCAGTTTAATTTTAGATTGCATCTCTGTAATTGAAATTTGGTTGGTGAGGTATCTGAAGAGCCAAGGGGGGTGAGGAGGATAAACACCGCATTAAACGCATTCAGTTATATATCTAAAATTCAGCATAGCAACTACAAATAGCCTTAAAAACATGAAACATGTGAAAGTGAGGCTACAGCTTCACCTTCTGGTTGAAAGAGAGAATTCAAAATACTTAATTTATTAATTATAATAAAAGCTATCATTGCCCACACTGATCCATAATCAATCCTACAAAAGTGAATTTTGCCCCATTTTCCAACTCCCATAAGGAGGGCATTTAACAAAATTTCCATCTTACATTTTAACCTCATTTATCTACTGGCCCCTCCTCCATTCAGTTATTCACTTTTTCATTAGGTTTGAGGTTTTCTGAACACATCACTAAGGACTAACATAGATAATAAATACTGTGTTCAAGCCTGGTGTGCAATTAGACATTTAGAAATGGAAGGAGAAAAAAAAACAAATAGTTGGGCATTTACATATTCAGCCTATATGTACAGTTGCAGCAAATTTGTTCTTAATTATGGTTAATAAAAGCGTGAGAAAGTTTTAGAGAAAATCATTATCTCCTGTTTACTTGATTGGGAAGGTGACAGGCTGTATATAGGCATCCAAAGTGCCATAGCTACAGTAAGATGCTATATGATTCTAACAAAGCCAAGCAATGCTGTCTCAAAAATACGTCAAAATTAAAGCCAAACTCCAGCCTTACCCTCATTCTTGCACAGTTGTACAGACTTCTCTCCTATACTAAATCGCTTAATCTGATTTCACTGTACACTGTGAGAGTCAAAGTCAAATACAGCCTGCCTCCTTTGCTGGCTAGAGGCCATCCAGCATTTTCCAGCTCTTTCCTCTCCTGTCTGGCTGTCCCTGGCCCACCCCTTTAGTTAATTTGGTTTCAGTTCTTTCTGTCATGGAGGCTTAACATCACATGTGGGCTATAACTAGGGTAGTCTGCTGTTTTCAGGAAGCTATGTACAGCTCCTCTCACCAACTATGATCTGCCTGCATTGCACAGAGAAGTACAGAGACCCAGTGATGACATCACAGGGTCTAAAATGAATTATGTAATTTACTTAGCTGTAACTATACTGAAGGTAGATACTGCACCGGGACCAGACAGAAGGGAAGTGAAGTGCTCGCTCTACATGGACAACGTGATGGTGTTCTGTGCTGACCAGATCTCCAGCGACCTGCTCATCTTGACCTGCGAGGACTTCATCCAAGTTTCGGGGGCAAAGGTCAACTGCGGGAAGTCAGAGGTCATGCTTTTCGGAAAGTGGTTCCTGCCTTCTTCTGCATCCATGCCTTTCGGCATCAAGATGGACTTCATCAAAATTCTGGGAGTCTGGTTTGGTGCGGAGGGCACAGCCTTGAAGTCTTGGGAGGAGAGACTGTCAAAGATGAACCAAAAGTTTGGACTCTGGAGCCTCAGAGAACTTACCATCGAAGAGAAGACACTGGTACTCCCGCAGCGAGATTCTCCCTGTGTTGCAGTACCTCACCCAGCAGGCCTGGCCACCACGGGTCAACACCTGCAAGGCCATCACCAGGGAGGTGTTTTACTTCATCTGGGGCTCCAAGATGGACAGAATGAAGCGAGCAGTCATGTTCAAGGAACCTCTCAAGGGCGTGCCCGACATCGCCACCCAACTGAGGGTGTTCTTTGCCTGCAACTGCATCCGCAGGACTTTACTGAACCGGACAATGGACTTTGGCGGAAACTCCATGTTATGCTTCTTCCTTTTGCCCCTCTGGAGGTCCTTCAGATGGGACATATGGGACAGTTCCATCCCCTACAACTGGGACACTCCTTGGTACTACTTGGATACTTTAAGTTTATCAAGGAGCAGGGGCTACAGGGAGTCAAGCCTGACTTGTGGAAACCGAAAACTATTTACAAACTCATCAGAGCAAACAACATTTTGGAGTCGGTTCCAGGCCTGCCTTCAGACACCTGCAAGGTGGTCTGGAGGAATGTTTCTTTAAAGAGACTCACCAACAAGCACAAGGACTTGGCATGGATGGCAATCCAAGGGGGGTTGCCACTCAGGACATTTATGCATGCCAGGAACCTGAGCAAATACAGACACTGCCCTTTTTGCACCATCCATGAGGAAATGGCTCAGCATTTTCTGGGAGTGTTCTTTTGCTTAGGACCTGTTGAGGCCAGAACTCAAAGACTTTGTGCCACAGACAGCCATCACACACTTTGGTGTGTCGAACAGACTTTTCTGTGGGACTTTTACCCTGGAGGATATTGACGGCGCCTGGCTGGTGTTGTGTTGTTTTAAGGACGCTTTATGGTGCGCCAGGAAGAGCCTCATCCACCAGCGGGAGAGGATGTCCATTGAGGACTGCTGCAGACTGATCCTCAGTCTGCTCAGAGACTATAACCTGATGGACTTTAAGGAGGAAGAGGACGTCTGAAGGTCTCCCCTTCCCCACACTCCCCCTTGAGTGTCTTTGTCCCTTGAATAAAGCTTTAGACCTGTGAACCCCTTCCCCTTTGCCTCTGCCCTCCTCCCCCCCCCCCACACCCGATGCTTGTTTGAGTTTGAATTTGTTTATTCTGAAAAGTTTATGCATGCTACGTTTATTATGTGGCACCTCTGGTGGTAACCTAGGGGGCCACAAACAGTCTCGGTGTAAGCAGCGCCATGCATGACATAATGGTCTGGGGAAGCGTCTGCCGTGCACATCACGTTAGGCATCACACCGCTGAGTGAATGTATTTATTGTATGACTGGACCTGTATTGTAATGTGGTTTTTTAAGCGCTGCGTCGCAGTACAGGGTGAGATGTACCCCGACTAAAAGTATCTTGTTTTTTTTTATACTTATGTAAAAAAATAAAGTATATTTTTCAACAAAAAAAAGAAGGTAAATCAGTCATGGCTCTGTGTTTTGGATCTCTAACTGTAACCTATTAATTTGTAGCAGTATTATTAAAGTGATTTACTTTAATTTCCTGTCTGGCTGACAAAGTTTTTTTTGTAAAAGTAGGGGAAGGCTAGAACAGTCAGTTCTAGTCACTCGTCAGTTTTTTTAAATTCCCCTCTGTCTCTGTTGCAGATTTTCCCTCAATTCCTGTCTAATAAAACCATTTTCGCCAGGACAAAACATAAGGAAGTTCTCTCCTCCAGAGACCAGGCTGGGGTTTCAAACCTTCCCCATTCTATCTTCAGTTGAACCATTTTTTTTTTGATGTGACATACATTTTAGGATCAATGTTAGCAAACAGGAGCCATGTGATGTCTATGCCCAGCTGTTGAAAGCTGCATGCATATAGACAGGAAGTGATTGCAAACAGTTTGACGGAGATCAGCTTCCCTGAGATTTAACAAAAGGTTGAAAACAAGTATTTCCATAAATAGGGCAATTGTTTATGATCCACAGCACTTTAGCAAACTAAATGCCATTCAGTTAAGACTGACATCATCTTTAACCACTTGCCCTCCTGAGAATTTACCCCCCTTTCTGACCAGGCCTTTTTTTGTGTTACGGCACTGCGTTACTTTACCTGACGATTGCATGGTCATGCAACGCTGCACCCAAATTAAATTTACATCTTTTTTTTTTTTTCACGAATTGAGCTTTTTTTTGTTGGTATTTGATCGCCTGTGCGTTTTGTTTTTTTTGCGCTATAAAAAAGTGACAATTTTGAGAAAAAAAAACATTTTTGAATTTTTGCTATTAAACATGTCCAGTAAAAAAAATAAAAAAAATAAATTTAGGCCAAAATGTATTCTGTTACATGTCTTCGATAAAAAAAATCCCAATATGTGTAAAATTATTTGGTTTATGTGAATGTTATAGAGTTTACAAATGGCGGTATATATACTGGAATTTTAATTTTTTTTAAATTTTTACTAGTAATGGCGGCAATCAGCGCCTTATAGTGGGACTGTGAGACTGTAGTGGGCATTCTGACACTGGGGGGGAACTAACTTGGTGTCACTGACATCCCCAGCAACACCAATACAGTGATCCGTGCTAAAAAAAAGCACTGGCACTGTACTAATGGCACTGGGCAGGAAGGGGTTAACATGAGGGGTGATCAAAGGGTTAACTGTGTGCTGTGTGTGTTTCACAGTAAGCTCTATGTGTGTGTTTCACTGTAATCACACTGCTTTGGATGGCTGTGCTCTGCACGAGCTGACAGGGAGGAGAATTGTATTGTTTACATACAGTTCTCCTCCCCGTCGGAGATGCTTGGCAATCACCGGGCACCGGCAAGTAATCACTGGCCGGGACCCAGTGATTGACAGCCGCAAACGGCAGTGCAGGTTGGGCACGCACGTGCCACCCTTTGGCAGTATATATCTGCTATAGGGCGGTTGGGAAGCAGTTAAAGTGTATGCAAACCCTAACAATGAACTTTTCTTATTTGGTCCCTTTTGATTTGTGAAAGTGGTAGTAAACTTTTACAAATACCCAGTGAAGTGACTGGCCTCAGGTGATACACAGAGATTAAACAAATCCTCTTACATAAGTTGTACCTGTCAGTCGGCAGCGATCTCTCCTCTACAGCATTCCAAACACATAGATCAAAAGCTATTACTCATCTTTAGGAGGCAGCAGCCAGGGATTTGTCACACAATGCACAGAATAGTGAGGCGAGCACAGTGTAATCTGAGACCTGAGCGTAGGGAAAGAACACAACCCCTCTATACACATAGGGAAACATGGGCAGCTGAGGCTATCAATCACCTTCTGTGTGCTGGAGGAGAAGTAGGGCCATCTCTCGGGATTGTCTTTTGTGGACATAACCAGTTAGAAGTGCCCCATGCATCATGATGGCAGAGGAAGAAGAAAGTGGAGAGAAATAACACTTAGTGCTTTAGATTGAAGCAAGTATACTCTATTGAAGGATATGCTTTGTTCATTTTTCATTTCAGAGGTTTACAACCACTTTAAATAAACATTTAAAGGTTTGTTTTATATCTGTTTGAGAAGTGCAAAAAGTACCTGTTGATCCTGCCAGAAATCTGTGAACAGATAACTTCCCATTCGATCTGCCTGTGCTGACTATATTGATTATATTGTTCTCTAACCCTAGGTTCACACCTGTAGCCACCACATCTAAGGACTGGTAAGCTTCAATATATTACATTTTTGTTTTTGGATGCGCTTTAAAGGATAATTTCACCTTTTGACCACAAATAGGTAAAAAAATATGCATTTATTATTTTTGGTTGTAGGAGCCTGTGCCATGGGCCATGCAGGTCTCCTGCAGAATGTCAGTATATCTGCTTATCTGTAAATGAATGTATGGGCAAGCAGTTATACTGACAGAAAGATTCAATTAACTAGCAGGGTGCTCCACAGCGCTGTGATAGTTCATTGCGACCTACAAGGCAACAGCTGCTAAGGCGGTCAGTTCATTCATTCACAGAATACCGTGAATGAATGACACGGCTGCGTGGGCGGAGCCCTGTACCACCATGCTGTTTTTAAAAAGTGACAGTACGAGCAGGGGCGGACTGACAACTCATGGGGCCCCCGGGCAATAGGGGATCATGGGGCCCCTGTGTCCTTGCCCAAACTCAAAAAAGCCTATGAAAAAGGTACCAGAGGCATCTCATGGGGCCCCCTGCTGCCCCGGGCCCTCGGGCAGTGCCCGAGTTTCCAAATGGTCAGTCCGCCCCTGAGTACGAGGAACTTCTCCCCATACTGCTATCACAAGGAGGGGGCAGCGAGCAGCGGCTGCAGCATTGGGAGCATCTGAAATATTCCACCCTAAAAACGGGTGGAACATGTAACATGTTGCCAAAGGTGAACTTATCCTTTAAAGTGAGTTGGATTGACTCCCAATTATGAGCAACCCCTTTAGGCATCTAACCAGCAGCTGTAACTCACAGAACGTTTGTGATATTAGCGCAGGCATTACAAAACCTTGTCACAGCTTGATAGGTTGGGAAAATGCCCAATTTTCGATGTTTTATGTAGAGAAGGACAGCAAGTCATGGACTGCATATGCAAATGCTCTCATTATTCTGCAACTAAGGAGATATATTTTGCTGGAACCTGAACTGCACACTTTATACCAACATTATTACACAGCAGTCTATAAATCACCAAGCAGTTACAACATACAACAAGTTTTTTTTTCCCCCTCTCTGCTGCAGGGACCAAACGCACCAGTTAAATCATTTCTTCCATTGCAATGCATGCTTCCTAATTGCTCTCCAAAGTCTCTTCCTGTCTGGCCATAAGACTGGCCCCCGAAAAGTTCTGCTGCAGATAATTCAATTATTCTAGAAAATGATTTTGGGCATTAAGACGCACAAAGTTCAGTTTCTCCCTGTTTCTGTTACTATTACCAAAGCTATTGATAAGATGGCTAAATTTATTGCAGAATAATTCTGCAGGAACAAAGATAAAAGGTTCCTGAATAAAATATGAGTTGAAAGCTGTAAATTGTAGCAATGCATATCATTTCATTCAAATGTAGGAAGCAATTACCATCTGCTATATTCATCAGTTCCCTCCTTTATGACTTAATTATATGTTTAATGCTATCAGATCAAGCAAAGGGCACAATAGATGAATGAGTGAGAGAATAGGAGAGATTCGGCAGCAAGACAAAAGGTGGATGAAAAGGAACCTGAAAACAGAATTGATTCCATTTGTTGGGAGAGAAGTTAATTTAAATAGTATATTCTATCATCTCCCATGCTTCGCCAAGATAATATAAATCACATGTTTGCGAATTTGCTTCATACAATTTTAACAAAAGCATTTAAGTTTCTGAAAACCGAAGGTCTCGGGGTTTTGATTTATTTATGAAATAGGTAACATTTACAAAGAAAGAGCAGTGACTGACAAGCAAAGCATTTAAATGATTATTAAGCAGGAATTTTCCAGGGTACTAAGTGAGGACAAAGACAATCAGACTAGCGGCCTTCATGGTGACGCCTTAACCACTTTGTGACCTGGTGGATTTAAACTGGACATAGAAGAGGGGGCATTTTAATGAGAAGGTAAGATCTGACCACCCAAGTATGTGTTTGGTCTAGCTGGAGGCATAAACATAAAAAAACTCACTGTGCAGTTAAATATATACAACAGCTGTGTCAAAAGTAATGCAAAAGTGAGCATAACTTTTTTTATTACCTTACATAGGTCATTCAAATATCACATGATGATAGAGTAACTCTTATTCTATAGTAACTCTCCATATTTTTATTTTTCATTGCAGCTGTCATTGAATTCCACTCGCTGACAATTGGGGGTTTATTTACTAAAGCTGGAGAGTCCAAAATCAGACTCCCTTCTGCATAGAAACCAATCAGCTTCTAACCTCAGCTTGTTCAATGAAGCTTTGGCAATGAAACCTGGAAGCTGATTGGTTTCTATGCAGAAGTGAGTCTGATTTTGCACTCTCCAGCTTTAGTAAATAAACCCCTTGGAGTCAGTGGTCACTTTGATGGTCACCTACTGCCTGGTTTGTCTTCAGTGCGGTTTCCCCTTCTTAAAATGTTTTCACCCATCTGTGCACATTGCTCTAGTGACATCTCCATAAACATTCTGTAGCCTACTGTGGATGTCGGGCAGCTTGCACCCTCCTTCATCAAGAACCCAGTAACAGCACATTGCTTCTGCTTAGAATCTATAATTTACCTGCGATGAAAAAGAAGAAGAAGAGTTACTATAGAGGAAGAGTTGTGAAATGTGAAATTTTAACAACCTATGCAAGTTAATAAAAAAAGTATGCCCACTTTTGCATTACGTTTAGTATAGCCCTCATATGACACAATCACTAAAATCCCAAATAAGATTCAACATGTTAGTGAAAAATACCAAGAGCACCAGGAGCAGTAAATTGGAGCCTAAGTGGGAGCATACCCCATATAAAGTGGAAGGGCAGCCCTTACTATCAACACCAGTACATGACATGGTCTCTGAGGGGCCTAACCCTGTAAAGAGACATCTTCACTGTAATCTGCTCAAGCCCTGTGTGCTGAGTAGTGACTGTCCCAACAAACCCGCAGGTGACTGGGAGGTGCTTGATGCTGTGGATCTTCTGCCCATGAAAGAGGCCCTCACTGAATGGTTCCTGCTTCCTCTCTTGCTCAAGCCCCAACCTTCAATGACTCAGAGACAGAGAATTCTGGTACTGGGGCTATGGCAACTCCTTTCAGCTCTGACTGACTGTTCTGATGTTTCTGAAGACATAGTGATGGGGCCCGGGTGAGGAGGGTATTGAGATTGCAAGCAACCCTCTACCACCTGTGGCCCCAGACCATGTGACTTCTGCAGTCCAAACGTAGACAGCTTCCTACAAGATATGTTGTTTGAACTAATTTCCACTATTTTGCCTTAATCATGTCTTTTTCTAAGAAAAGCATCTATCAAAGTAGGGGGAGTATACGCAGGTGCAGACTCTTTCCTCCACTGCAACTACAGTGGCATTGCAAAGGGGGAGGAAGTCAGGAGGAACTTGTTCCTCTATGTTTTCCTGGCTAATTGGGAAGCAATCTGGTTGGATGTCGCTGTCCCATATGACTCTGGAGGTCTTCTTGGGGCAGGCAGAGTCTATTTAAGACCCTTCCTCCATCTTAGCATGCATTTTTGCAAGTGGATAGTGTGGGGAAAGGTTACCGGTCTGTCAGGGAAAGTGAATTGCAGAAGGGAAAGGTTTCTGGGCGAACAGGGACAGGATAGGGACACGCTATCCTTCCTAGGAATCCTTCCCATTGGGCTTAGACTGACCAGACCGCATTTCACCCTTGGAAAAAGACACTGTTGGTGCATCAGAACCTGCTCCACTTTACCTTACTGCATGAAACTCTGAGTGTTCCCAGTTAGGTGACTTCCCGGTACGCTATTTGTATCTTTGAGCCATTGCTTCAGTACAAGTATACCGCCTTCCAGGTTTAGCTAGATAGGTTTTTTTGTTTTTAGATAGAGGCTGGGTAGCAACCTAGGATGCGTCAGCCTGGGAGTGAGGTAGTGAGATCACACCAGGCAGGTTCAAAGGTTCTACAGGTCAGGGCTTTTGGAGCCTTCCCACCTTTCCAGAAACTTTGAGAACTTTCTGGAACAGGGGTGGAGGAGGGGAGGAGGCCCAGATCTACATGTCTGAGGAACCTTGGCTAATCCCCTGGGCATGGTGACCAAGTAAAACCCTTAAATGTGGTAGAGTCTGAGCAGTGGGGCAGAGTGTCGGGTGGAAGATGGACTAAGAGGAAGGCTGGAGTGTGGAGCCTGGGAGGGGACCCCAGGGAGGGGAGCCTACCTACAAGGTAAGTTGCTGGAAGGGAGGATCTCCACTGTCCCACCGTCTTTTTCGGAGGACATCCTGTGCAGCAGAGAAGGAGCCAGCCCAGCGTAAGACCTGAAGGCAGCCACAAACCCACCATACTAACACAATGTACTCCTGCACCCCGTAGGCCAACTAAGGGGAAAGGGTGGTCAGGTACAAGACCCAACTAGTTCTCATTCTGGACTATTTCATTGCTAGCTCTTGGGACCCTTTGCTTGGGGATTTTCTCAGTGCAGCTGGGTGAAGAGGAGGTTTCCTCCGGGGTCTGAGGAGTTATATCAAAGGGACTTCTGTGCTCCTTAACGAGACTGTGTTCCATTTTTGCTAATCCGCATTTTTGTACAGTATTGTTGCTAAGAAGTTTTTCCTCAAGTTTGCAGTTCCTTGGGCATGCCATGTACCCCTAGACCCCATCCAAGTTGTTAACCCCTTATAAAACAACAAAACCAAGCTCAAGGACTGTTTACTGACTCTGAATGCAAAGAGTGGAAAAATGCATGTTGCCCGGCTGTGCAGAGCTTTAGGGGGACCCAAAACTCAACGACCCCTAAGGGGGTAGTGCTACATGTATATACACATGTACTATACAGCTCATCTTCACATTTTTTGTGGGAACTTTCTGCCCAGAATATCTGATATTCATACAGTATACAGAGCTTAGGGAAACCCAAACAGATCCAGTGGTTCTCAGGAGGGTAATGCTACACAAGTTTTGTTAATTGCAGCTGGACTAGTAATACTGGTGATACCATCATGAAGGCTTTTGCGCAGGCACTTTCTGGTATAGGGTGACAACTGTCTCCCAATGGTGCTGCAGCATTGTCACCCTGCCACAAGCGCCCATGATGGCATATGTGCTGACATTCCTTGTGCAGGCATGTTCCACCCTTGTTGCTATGCCCTGCCAATGCTGGAGTGAGTGCATATAACAGTAAGCAGCTGAAAGAGGTTGGAGGAGATCGGCCACACTAAGATGTAAAACAGGATGAAAAAAGGCAAAAGGAGTATTTTATTTTAAAAAAATGGCAAACTTGGCCTGATTGCTTCTTCCAATTTTTGTTGATGTCTGCAGATGCCCATTGACATGACATCACATAGCGACGCCACTGAAAATGCATCTATCAAGTATATCTTTGAAAGCAAACTGTACCATACAGTAGTCATTTGTAAGCTGAGCTTCAGAGAGATATAAAAGAAACAAATTGACACAGCTCTGTATTTATGAAAACATCATTGAACGTATAACTTTTTTTTTAAATTCAAGTAGTTTAAGTAGCAGTTTAAGTGTTAGTCACTCATATAAAGTCCAGCCAAACCTACTAGACCTTCCAACACTACCCTCTCCATTGACAGGGTTTTTTTTTCAGCGGAACATGGGGGAACGCAGTTCTGGCACCTCCAGCACTGAATGTAATGGTAAGGGGTGCTGGGGTGTGCTGGAGGGTCTATTGATGCTGGCTGCTAGGGGACCTATTGCTGTTGGAGGGGATCTTTTTTGCATGGGGGGTATATTGTTGCTGGTGGGGGATTTATTGTTGCTCAGAGGTTTTATGTTTCTAGTCATTTGTTGTAGGGAGGGATCTAGTGTTGAGGGAGGGGTCTATTATTGATGGTTGCTGGAGGGTCCATTGATGCTAGCTGCTGGGAGATCTGTTGTTGCTGCCAGGGGTCTATTGTTGCTGGGGTGGATCTCTTGTTGCTGGGGGTCTATTGTTGCTTGCTGCAGGGGATCTACTTTACTGCTTTTCTTGTTATAAAAAACAAATTCTATACAACGTACTTACAACCATAAAATGATACATGGTCCTGTATTCGCTAAAAGGGGCAATGCTGGGAGGTGGGTAGAGAGTGGAATCAAGGAATGGTGCTTGGGGGTGGGCGGGGGGGGGGGCAAGGATGACTCAGAAGGGGTAGTCCCTGCACCTATTCTCTGAGAAAAAAAGCCCTGGTTATAGGTATAGAGTATTGCTGTCCAAGGGTGCATGTGCTGCTCCTTAGATACAGTGCAGGAGTGAGTATAGCCACCCTATGAAAGGAAGTGTGTTACCAGATGAGAATAAGGGGGGGAAGCCTAAAATAAAAGACATCTAATGCACATATAAGGATTGTTAAATTGCAATGTATTAAAATGTTGTTTTTGGCTTTAGACACACTTTAACTGCAGCACAGACAACTCAGATCTCCTGCCTTGTCAGGCAGAGCTGTGATGTGTGGCAGAGCTGTGTAAATGTAAGAACTGGATGGACAGAAATGCCAATGCCTTCAGGCAGGTAAAACAGCTCTCATGCTCTCATATATGTATTTGATTTGTGTGTTTAGCTGTTTGCCTGGAGTTGAGCTAGAAGGCTGCAAGCATCATCCTTTAACATACATGTGCTGTGCTCAGCAAGGAAGCAGTTAATTTTTAAGAAAACATTATCCATTCCTGGCACGGGAACAAAGGTTCACAAGTTGACAGCTACATCGCCTAAAGGCCAGAACTACACTCCAAAGTAAGTTTTTAACCAAGGCTAATTAGTAGAGAAGTTGCCTTTTAAGTCAGTCAGTTTTTAAACTTGTCCTCGGGACTAAGGAGGATTCCTACCCGTAATAAAAATAAAAAGTTCATTATATTTCTGTCACAGGCAGAATCGAAGGAGGGCAAATAGATTAATTTTTCCTGACAGGTACTGAGCCGATCTGCCTAAGAGTTGTACATTGCAGTCCCTCTTTGGCCGTGGCCCAAATGTTCTCTGTCCTTAGAAAAGTTTGGTGACACCTGTAACAGTCTGCAGAAGGATCCAAAACATCTTTAGTGAGTGTAATTATCATTGTCCGACTGCTAGCTGAAGTTGTTGTATTACAGATTCAGATATAGCAACTGCTAGCCAACAAAAGAGCGTGTTTAGTGTTTTGCTATATGCATGGTTCTCTGTGGATACAAGATATACTCCGAACAGGGGTGGACTGACCATTTGGAAACTCGGGCTCTGCCTGAGGGCCCGGGGTCAGTAGGGGGCCCCATGAGATGGCCCTGGTACCTTTTTAATAGGCTTTTTTGAGTTTGGGCAAGGACACAGGGGCCCCATGATCCCCTATTGCCCGGGGGCCCCATGAGTTGTCAGTCCGCCCCTGACTCCGAATACTGTATATGAAACCAACAGTGTTCCTGGAAGGGAAAATAAAGAGTAACAGCTGACATGCCCACCTTTCCTGGACAAAATGCTGTGAAAAAAGTAAGTATACCCTTGGCATCAGAAGTTATTGTAGAGCTGCCCTGGTTGGAGCTGCTGGATAGGATGGGCCCTCTGTTCATTGCCTCAACCTTCTCAAGAACCTCAGCCCCTCTGATACAACAGTCTGAGTGTACAAACATACAGTACAATATCACAGGAAATCACGGAAAGTAACACATAGTTCCCAGTAGTAGTGCTATATCAAAGAAAACAGGCGCCAAACCAGGTAGTAAAGGCAAACTTAACCATTTCCTACCTGGCCAATAGCAAACTGATGGCCGAGTGAGACTTTCAACGACCTGGGTGGGCGTCATATGCTGCTTCAGTGAGATCTGTCATCGGCTCTATCAATCGGACACAGGCGATGGCCAGTCCGTGTACCGAACCGTTGCTGGTACCAAGTGACCACTGTGACCAATCACAATGACAATTGTAAACCATGTATGGCTTCCATTCATGCCATCCATTGTGTACAATCGTGTTGTTAGCTGTCATTGGTCACAGTAATCGCATAGTACAAACTGGACAAATCAAAGCCCATCTGTGTCATGTGATTAGCTGTGGCCAATCACAGCTAATCACAACAACAGACAATGAATGAATCGCTTTCATTCAGTGAAATGTTTGCCTATAGCAGTGAAATTCACTGCTATAGGCAATCATAATGTGCAAAAGAAAATAAAATACTGATCACTTCCCAAAGTAGTATAATGTTACCATGGTAACATTATATTACTCTGGTCTGGTGTTTTATAAAAAAAAATGTAATACAATTTTAAAAAATAAAAAACATTACAAAATATACTATTTTTTTTTTTTCATACTATCACCAGTTCATGTCCCAGATCATCACCACACCCATTATATGATGACGCTGTACTGCACTGGTGACAAAAAAAAATTGGTGAAAAAATGTTTTTTTCATTACTGTATTTTCCAAAAAAAATGACAAAAAATTACAACTTCAAAAAACTCGCCATGCCTCTTACTAAATACCTTGGACTGTCTACTTTCCAAAAATAGGTAATTTGGGGATATTTATACTGTCCTGACATTTTTGGGCCTCAAGAAATGAGATAGGATGTCAGTAAACCAGGATTGATTGATTTTCAGATACTGTATATACCATGGTTTGTGGACTCTAAGTGGCTATGCTGGCATTGCCCCTTTAACAGAAATAACTTATGATAGGCATTTTCTATAAATGCCCTGGAATTTTCATCAAACACACTTTGATATGATACAGGAGGTAAAGTTGACCCAATGACTGCAAGCTACCAAGGTTTTCAAGCAGCAAAGTAACCCAAACCATCATTTTTCCAGAATGGTATTTCACAGAAGTTACAAGGTGACCAAATAACTCTGTTTTTGTTTGATCAGTCATCTGTATATTATCCCAGAAGACCTAGTCTTTGCCTATACAGTATTTCCAATACCAAACTGTAGTATTGATTTAGTGCTCTTTTCGGACAGCAAAGGCGTTTGCTTAATACACTAGATGCAATTGGTACAATCTCTTTCTGATTGTAGATGCATGCACTTTGACCCCAACTGTTGCAAGAGTTACACCCTACAATTCAGTTTTGAGTTTTTTGGAGACTTCTTTTAGCATCAAATGCTATTGGGTTGAGTTTGTTGGGTTGGCAAGTCTTGGACAATTTTTTTTTTTAACAGTTGCATTTATTGAAGATGTACGGTGGTACAGACAAATAGAGGTACATAAAGCCTAATCAAGCGTATACAGCATACACAAATAACCTAAAGCAGAAAGAAAAACTAGTCAAAGAAAAACTTAGTGTGACCCAAAGGCCGGTATCCAGCCAGGGAAGGGGGGCGAGATGAGGAAGGTGAGCAGAATAAGGCAGGGGGTGGATGGTGGGGAGAAGCGGTGGGGGGAGGAGGAAGGAGGAAGGGGAAGGAAGAGGGCATGAGAGGAGATTAGGCGGTACAGATAGCAACACAATGTTCAGGTGCTACAAAAATCTTCAGATAAATAACTGGAGACATTACAACCTATGCTGTGAGACCCAGTGCCTCCACCCACCCAGCCCAGCCCAGATTCAAATTTTGCTGGACAGTTGCAGCTTACTGTATGTACCAAAGGTCATAGAGAGGTAGAGCACCATTAATTGCTGCCTTCCAACCAGAAACCGTGGGTGAGGTTGGCAACTTCCATCTCAATAAAATTTCTCTTCTAGCGCAATAAGTAGACAAGAAGACAAACAGCTTACTATGCTTAGGTGCCTCTACAAGATCAGTAAGTCCCAACAGCAGTATCAGTGGGTCCATAGAAACAGACAGGTTACTAACTGCATTGATAGTGTCCAATACTCCAGTCCAAAAGGGATGCAGCCTCGAACAGGACAAGTCTTGGACAATTTAGCAGATGTTTGAAATCTGTGTCACTTGTGGATTATTTTCCTTACAGGGGAAATTATTGATTTCAAATACTTGAAATACTTTCAAATATTGGCAATCTTTGTAAATACTTTGCCAGACTCAAAGGCAACCACAAACCTCTTTATGAGGGCTTTAGGGAGTTCTATTGACCTACAACATGATGACATCACGCATGTCAATAGCAAAGAGAACACTGGGCCCTGAATACTGGCATGTAATATGGAACAATGGATTCTAAATTTCATGGATTTGAAGTGGTGGTATACGTAATGGTGTACTCACTTTTTCCAGGTTACAAATCAGCATTTTCATATATTTAAAACATGAGAATGCAATACAATGTGAATGTAATGTGTCACCTGTTTGAGTGTATCACCTTTCCTGTAGGTACTATTTAAATCAAGATCTAATGTTTGCCTGTTCATATACGTTGAAAAAGTCAACAATTTCCATGGGGTGCACTTACTTTTTCACATGACTGTAGTTCTTAACTATGGTTATTATTACTGCCTTGTTGTTATGCCATAAAGATAAAATGTTCCACATCACTCTACAGAGAATATTCATATCAATTCCTGCCCCAGTGAGGGTTATGATCCAAATGCCCTTCACTATCACAAATACAATTATTGTCCAGGCAATACCAGCTGACAGTCATGAACATAGCTGCCTGTTTTTTTTATTATTAGTTAGAAAAATAAAAATATCTCTATTATTAAGCCTGGGGGCAGGGTGAAACGCGTTAGGGCATAACATGGGGGGAACTTGTGACTATATTATATTATATTATATTATATGGATCACTTGGGGAGCTAGTTTGCATAATTTGCTAAATAAGTTTATTTTATGTTTTATAATTCTGTGTAGATGTATACCAAATGTAAACAGATATGTTTATGGTTTTGCTGGGATGGATAAATAAAGAGCAAAAAAAAAGTTTTTACCCTCCCTGGAGAAAATGCAGTTTCAGTTACCCTTCAGTACTGGCCAGATGTGTGAAAAGTCTAGCTATGATCTTGCCTAGGCTTTGAATGATAGTTAGCACTGTAGAGAGCCATAGCAGCATTATCTGCAGAAAAATAGGAACATCAGCTGTTCTTTTAACTGTTAATTATCCCTCCCATAAACTTCATTTGTTCACTATCAACAGAAAGCTTCATGGACTTAAGAGTTATCAGGTTTCAGCACTGTGCCCAGACGGTGCAGATAATTATTCAAGAACTGATGTACTCAGAGTGTTTATTATTAGATACTAATTAATTAATTAGAATTTAATTAATGAATTGAAACTCTCCTGATGATAAATTCTCTTGAGTCAGTCTATTCAAAAATCGTATTTTTGTTATAGGCAAAGCCCGATGGGCTAGTTAATACTTTCTGGCTTCCGGACATCAAAGACCCATTTTCATAACCAATAGTCATAATATTATTTATTGGTCTGTTTTTAATTGGCTGTTGGTAATTGGAACTGTTAATTGTTTTGTGGTTAAAGGATAAGTTCACCTTTTAACAAAAAACAATAAATGCACTTCTTTTGCAGGTAAAAAAATGTGCATTTATTATTTTTTGTTTGTGGAGCCTCTAAAGCATTGCAGATTGTTGGTGCCATGCAGGTCTCCCCCTGACCTGTCAGAATATCTACTTGCTGTGGTAGTTCATTGAAAACTACATGCCGACAGCCACAAAGGCTGTTGGGACTTGTAGTTTTCCCATTCGCAGAATACTGTGAAGAGTGACGCGTTCGGGCGGGTGGAGCCCCGCATGGTCACGTTTTTTTTAAATTTGAAAGCTAGCGAGGGGGGAGAAGATCCCCGTCACAGCAGGGAGTGGGGAGGAGCGGGGGCCGGTCCCATTGTAACATGTTACATGTTACACCCTGATTATGGGTGTAACATCTAACATGTTACGAAAGGTGAACTCATCCTTTAAAGTGGTTCTATGTATGAAGGTAAAAAATGTCTGTATCTAGATCCCCTGCAACCTTCCCCCTACCCCCCTTATACATGCCTGATCTCGATCCAGCGATGTGCATGAGAGCAGCCGCCATTGGCTCCCACTGCTGTCAATCACAGCCAGTGAGGAGGGAGCAGAGGACGGGGGCATGTCCCGCTGTCTGTGCCTATGGACGCAGACAATGGAGCTCAGGGGGCAAGCCTGCATGAGTGCCCCCATAGGAAACATATGGGCAGTCACTGAAGAGAAAGAAAGCCGTCAGGGGACTGGAGAAGAGGATGATCAGGGCAGCACAGAGCAGGTAAGTATAATATGTTTGGGGTTTTTTTTTTTTTAACCTTTAGAATCACTTTAAATAAGGGCTGATGTGGGTATTTTAACCCATGTCTTGCAGTTCATGTATTTATTTGAGTAATTTAACAAGGGGACACAAGGTAAAGCCTAACTCCAGGTTTACTATGACTTTAAATAGTTCATTTGAGCCAAGCTGCCACAAACAAACTTTTTCAGAAAGCTTCTTCTGATTGGCTGAGGTGGAGAGGTGGGTGGATGAGAAGTGGGTGGATGACAAAACGATCTCCATCTCAGCCAATCAGAGGAAGCGGTGTATCCGTTCCTAAACCA